TCTGGCTTTGTCTGGTTTATGCCAGCAATGTAAAAGGCATTACTGCACATATCAGAAGTGTGTTTCATTGAACTGTGAACATCATAAACAGCTATCCTAAAGATTTAAGAGGATGATGCAAGAGATCCCTGTACATAAAGGTGTTTCTCAAAATCTTTTTTTCTCTCTCTAATCCACAGTGTGACAGCGAGAGCGATATAGACGATAAGGTAAGACTGAATTTTCTTCTTTCACATGCTTGGAAATTCCCTGGTAGCCAAAATAAGAATGAATTTGAAAATAACGTTTTTCCTCCAGTCTTCATGTCAAATCTAAAAATATGCATAATTGAATGAGAAAACATCGGACCGGGTACTCTGTGATCTAGCTTTTGTTTGCAGGAAAGAAACCCCCGTCAACATAATAGTCTTTCTTGATTATTATGTGAGCATTTGGTGAGTCTTGACTCACAGTGTTAGAGCTGTTTCAGAGGAAGTTTCCTCTGATAACTTGTCAGGAGCCCATATTTTATTTATAGTAACCTTTGAAGATGTCAATTTTGTAACCAGTTTAGAAGATGGGACAACTGGTACCTGCCCTCCAAGGCAGTGTGGTAACTGTCAAGGAGCGTTTTGTCATGTTACATGCATATTTATCACAGAGCAATGGTTTTTCTGACCTTCTTTTGAACACAGAGGTTGGTCACTGAAAGGTTGTAGTCGTGTGTTTGTGTACGGGGATTTCTTGTTTCACCTTTGCAAGGAAAACAGAGAAGTCCCACAACGGGGCACCAGTTGCACCACGGTTTTGAGCATCAAATGTGTAAAAGACTTGAGTATTCCTTGCCGGCTTCTCTTCTGGCAGATCATACTTGGCAGTCTCAGGTTAGATCTTCATCAAACCTTTATTGTATTTTGGCTGTCCAACCTCTTGCATTCATTCATGAGAAGCTGTGGTGTGGAGGCTTCTCCTGGATCAGCATTACAGAAGTGAAGGCTGACTTCAGCAGCCCTGTCTCCTCAGCAGCACCCCCCGCTGCAGCCCTGCATCAGAGGTTACCACGAGTTCAGGAGACTACACTAAAAGCTTCCTCTGCTAAAGTCTTTCTGTTAGTATTGTTAGAGGTTTAGGAGCATTACGGTTTCTTCAACTTCTTCTTTTAAAAATCCCATTATATACTAAATATCCCTGGAATGTGGCAAAAGCTGTGTTTTGAGATGAAGGCTTGATTGAAGAGAAACATTTAAATATGCGTATTGAATGAAAGATACTGTGCATATTTTATTTTATATTATTCTGTTTTAATTTTTATATATATATGTGTGTATATGTGTAAAAAGTCACTCCCTGAAACCACCCCCCCCCGAGTTCTGCTTCTTACAAGGTTACACAGCAGCAGAGCTGACAGCAGGGGTGGTGAGGGTAAAAAATTATTCCCTAAAAGCTTAGATACCACGGGGTTAAAACATTTCTTAGACTGCCCAATCAAAGAAAGTAAAAGCAATCACTTAGAAAACTGTTTAAAGATCTGCCAGTCAAACCTCAGATGAAGTTGTAAGTGACATGTAGTTTTATTATACAGCTATGCTATTAATGATTATCTAAATTACACTGGTAGACCCAGCTAGCGGCATTACATCTGAGACTGACGTTTGTTAGATTAGGTTTGACTTCACCTTGTAGAGAAGAAATTGAAATCTGAACAACATTGATTAGCTTTCAGAATGTGGGATCTGAGGTTACCTTCAGAGGAGGCTGCATTGTGTTTGGCTGGTAGCTTACTGTCCTTTACAGCAAATGAAAGGCTGTTATAGTGTTCCTTCCCATTAATATGGCATTTCTTTACATATCTATAACTGCAGTTTGACCTTCTAGGCTCACGTACTTCCCAGCTGCCTTCTCCTTAAGGTGACTCCGCCTTAATAACAACATTTCTTTTCTTCATAAGGAGAGCAGCACAACATCATCTTTCTATCTCTTGCCTGATCTGTAGAGACATGAGACATGACACAGTTCTATTAAATAGGTCTCTGGAATTAAGTGGGGTTTCTTTTCCTGTCAGCAAAGACGTGGGCACATGCATGTAAACTCACCAGGGTTGAAGTGAAGATGCTTCAAACCTTTCATGGGGATAATGTAAGTGCAACATTGCCTTCCAGTTGGGGAACACAAGGGCAGCCTGACTTGCTGTGTTGGTACCTGGCATACTACACTCCTCTGGAAACTCATCCAGTGTCTGTCTAAAACTTCACCTGCCTGATGCAACAAGGAGCTACAAAAATATTGGTGTGGATATCCTGAGGGATTACACTCGTTTTCCCCCTTCTACGTGTTGGCAAAACGTATCTCCTGTAACACTCCCTGGCTGTTGCAGCCAGGTGGAGAATTCGCCCTCCTGCCCAGCCCAGCATCAGGCTCCCGAATTCCGTGATGGGTCGGCTGCATTTCCCAGTGCTACAGAACAGTCCTGCTTTCCTGCTTGGTCAGCAAGGAGCAGCTTTTCCTAGGTACACCTACACACACTGGCACTAATGAAGGGCAGGGCAGGAATTACTAATGTGCTTCTGATTTGCATAACATTTTTTGTCAGTCATAAACAGTGGATCACTGTCGTCTGGGTGTAACTCACGAGGAAAGCAGACAAAGAAAGAAGTTCATGTACAAGTACAAACTGAGTCAGCAACAGAGGTAGAAGCAAAACTGAAATTTTCCACCTCCTACTTCTCTCTCTGTACAGTGCTAGTAATTATCCACTATTTATTTAGTTCGTAGATATATGGGCTATTGAGCTCTTAATGTTTTCAAACGCAGACATTAGAGTAAAATTGAGGTTTTACCCTCGCTGCATTGTAAAATATAAACACACTCCTGATGGTTTGGGTTTTTGTCTTGTGCAGTGTTGTGCAGGACTCCAGGGGAGGAAAGTAATTGAGCATAGTCAGTCACACGTACAGTGTCTCAGAACCAAGGAGCCATTACTTTAGTGCAAGGTACAGTTCCACAGCAGATTGTGAGAGTGTTTCCAACCAGTGCACTGCTGTTTTTAATAATCAGAGAAGAGGAGCTCAAGGCTGGGGACTTGTCTATCCCATCTACTTTCTGAGAACTGTCTCTGGCCAAGTATAGCCTTTCACTTCTGCATCACTGCTGAAATCTCAAAGGAAGTAAGTGGGATGATACTTTCTCACACCTATCATTCTGTCACCACGCACTTCTCAAAGAACTGTTTGAGATACCCAGGCTAATAAAGTGAGCTGTCCAGCCATTTAACCAAGTGAGAAACTTAGCAAGTCATGCGTTCTGAGAGATGGAAATGCAAATCCTGGTTCTGCATGTTCAGTGAAGGACACTGGGTTGGACTCTGCAGCTGTTAGGAGGGTTGTAGGGTGGTTTGTCAAAGCTGTGAAAACAATACTGTGCTTTTTGTGAGGGAAGAGGGAGAGAAAGGGAGTCAGTCTGATGGTTGTATTACACTGTCTCTGCTCTGTGCAATAGCTGCGATGTGAAGCTCACGGTCCATAAACATTGTTACTGAAAATATATACTTCCTTTAATAGCAACAACAGCATTAACAGATAGCAATTACCCTTCATTTTCAGGAACTATAAAGTCTCCATTAATTCAAGATTTATGTAGTTATAGCATTTAGCACAGGAATAACACCACAGAGAATTGGTTTATACACATGTAATGAGAGAGCTTATGGCATACTTTAGTGAACATTAACATAATAGAGTAATATAAACCATCAACAGTTCCACTTATTGTCTCTTACCTGCTTTAGCATCACTGTGAAAAGTGGCTAGCAGCTTGGTAATGCGCTCTGTTAAATGGTGTTCTGCAGAAAGCCAAAAGTCAACTTGTGTAAAACAAGGGAATGAGTAATCTCTGCTCGTTACTCCAAAACGTTGCTCTCATTTTTTTAATAACAGTGTTCAAGATTGCATTAAAAAAAAAAAAAGGCTATTTCTTTCTTTAAAAGTAATTCCATGTTCATCTTCTTTCAGTCTTGGATTTCTCTCTGCTGTGTGCAAAACTGTGGCTTGTCAGCTTAATTACGTGGCCCTGCAGTGTAAGCGAGCTCTCCAAACCAGGGTATCAAGCATTCTTCTCTTAATGTGGTGCTAAGTAAGATGTACAAAAGATGTACAACTGCATTTCTGAGTTGAATCAGCATTTACCGTGTATTGGTTTTGTGCTTTGTGTTTTAGCTGTAGTAAGCAACCTCAGAGACAGGTGAAGTTACATCCAAGATGGAAACAAAAAGTTTTGAGGTCAGGTTTCTAAATCAGTGTTTTCACACGACTTTCTGCAGCAGCCCAGTGAGTTTATTAGGCTTTGGGCAGTGTGAATCAGCCTTGCCGTGCTGGAGTTTGCTGTGCTCATTCCTGAGTCCCAGGAGGTACCTGAAGTGTCAGCAGCACAAGAGGAGGTGCAGTTCAGCCCCGGATGGATGGGAGGAGGAGGTGCTGTGGTCGCTCCAGCCCAGGCTGGGTTCCATCCTGCCACGTGTGGTGCAGATGCAGAACAGCTCATGGCCCAAGGGGGAGATCACAGGGAAGGGGCTCAGGTAAATGGGGGGACACTGTCAACAGCAGCTGTGTCTCAGCACAACAGCAGCCTCCTTGTTGTCCAGCTTTGATTTTGCAGGTAATAAGGTGAAGGGGGGATTTGTAGGTGTTTAGGTTTTAGGAGGCATTTGAGAGGGCAAGTCAGGGAGCTTTATGACCGTGAATGGGAGGTTATTCTCTGCAGCAAAAGGCAGAGTGGTAAGTAGTAAGGAGGTGCTTATTTGAAAGTTTGACAAGGGGGTGATCAAATCAGACCAGTGAGAGATGAAAGTTTACAGCAATGCTGAATGTCAGTGTTGGGAAGAAGAGGTAAACTGTGAAAGAGTCAAAACATGAAGGAGTGACAGTTTGGCATTTGGGAAGTGGGAAGGTGTGTAGCAAGCAAAGCCACAGACTAGGAAAACGATCTTGCAGCAGCTTTTCCTTGGCACAAGGACACAGGTACATCAGCTGTCACCAGGGGAAAGGTTAAAATGGTAAATGAAAGGTGAGGTAGTGAGAGCTTGATCAAGAACTTAGTTGTGTGGATGAACAGAGGATGCTCATTATGTTACAGAGAACAAGGATATGCAGGACTTAAACATGGGTTGAATATCACGATGTTGGGAGTGTTGGGAGTCAAAGAGAGTGATGAGAACTGTGGGCTTGAGTGAGAGATG